GACGGGACCGCGCCTCAGAAAGTTTGCGTGCTCGTCCAGAGGGCGGCGGGCTGGGGATCCGGCCCCATGCGGAGCGAGAAAGCCCGGAGCCGGGCTCAGGCACGTCGACTCTTCCGAATCGCAGCCTGGGGCTGCCGCCATGGGCAGCTGCGTGGGGAGACAACGCAGAGAGCGGCCGGCCAACCCAGGACACCCGCGCAAGCGAGCAGGTTGGGTACCCCCGTCCTTGCCCGAATACAGTAGTCAGGGAGTCTGGGCCGCTGGGAAGGCAGGCGAGAGCTGGTCCGAGCACCCGCCGGCGAAGGCTCTTTCTCCAGAGGTAGCCTTGTCCCTCTCCCCCCCCCCGGTTCCCACTGGGCGCTCACCGGGCACCCTCCGAGACCCCAACCAGGTCTGGGCATGGGTACCATTGTCTTGGCTCACTACCTACTGTACCTACGCGGAATGGGCGTTTAAGGATTGTCCGGGCGGGTTGTGGCCCAGATAGATAGATGAATATGTAGTGGAGGGACCCTGGTTGTCTGCAATCTTCTCTATGTCGTTGATTATGAGTGTTACCTAGACTCCACTTTAGGAATTTTTAAGTTCTGTGGACTTCTTGGGATGGCACACGTTTCCTCCCAGGGACAGTTGTTGTGCGTGTATTGTTTAATTGTAAAGGTCTTTTTGTATTGTAAATGCATGTTCATCCCCAGAGCAATCCTGGTTTCTCTAGGTCCTTCAACCTCCGTCTCTAGCAAGAGTGTGGGATGTCCCAGAAAATCGCCTACTGGTTTTATACAACAGCTAGTCTATCCTGTCTCACCAGATGGTTTGGGAGTGCAAACTGCAGTCTCTTCTTTTTTTCCTCTAAACATAGGTGTGCCCAGTAGATTATAATCTTAGAACTACTGTACAGAGCTGGAAGGGTCCCTATGGGTCATCAAAAAGAGTCAGTGGGGAATTGAACTCGGTAGCCACATACCCAAGTCATTGAGCTATCCAGTACTTTAGGAGCAGTTTTGAAGCCAATGGGCACTCTTGTCAAACCTCACACATTGTCATATTGCTGCCCCATCAGAAACTGGAAGTCTCCATCAGGGTTTGTTATTATATTCATTTATATGCCGTTCTTCTATCTGAGGATACACAGAATACCAGAATGTGGCTTTTATACAACTAGCCTTGGAATATTTGTGTATTTCCAAATGTAAGACCCTGTAAACATTTTCTCTGGATAAAAAGAGGGAAGCTGTGGTAGGCTTTGATGTGTCCATGTGACCCTGTGTGGCATGAGCCCATGTGCACAAGACCGGCCTGACTCTTCTTAGCCCAGGTCAATCAAGAGCATGATTAGTTCCCACTCCAGACTCAGATCACCCTCACTGTGCTGCAGCTGCATTAGTTGGATCAATAGCAGAAAAGGTTTTAATAGAACAAGCTCATCAGCAATATTTGGTATCAGCATGGGTGGTGCATACATATTGATCCAGGTTTTTGGGAGACACAGCAGAGTTGGCCTTTCATTAAAAAGTGTGGGGGGGGGAGGTGTCTGTGTGGGCATTAGGAGATCTAAGATCCTTTTTTCTGTGTTGGACTGTTACTTGTTAAATCTGCAAATAGTCTGAGTGGATCAACAACATTGTCTACTCTTGCACTTCTGTTGAGTGATTGATGTTTCTCATATGCTTGCTAAATTGGTTAGAAGAGAGGGATGGAAGGATTCAGCAGAAACCCTGTTGGACTTAGAGGCTATTCTCCCTTTATTTTAGGGAGTTGTACTGGGCGAAAGGGCTTCCAGGCTGCAGCTTTACACCCACCATCCTATTTTCAAAAGCAAGCTTGTCCTCAATTGCCTCACCCCCACCTCCAGATATAGTGATATCTCAGCTTTGCAAAGCCCTACAGGAACACTGATACCAAAAACCATTGGCAGTGCACATGCTGCTCTTTTTGTGTGTGTCATCTTGCATTTTCTGTCCTTGGAATGGAGTCTATCTATCCCATGACAGACTGAAGAGCTCTGTGTGTTCTTGTTAGATTAATGCTCTTGAAGAGCTTTACTCATTCATAGTGGTGACTTAAATAGTGAGATTACTTGGCAGAAGCCAAAACAAAATAAAAAAATATATGGCACCGTGTTAGTTGCTTTAATGTGGCATGAAAATTGCTAGTCAATGACTTACCATATTCAAATCTTGGAAAAACTACTCTTTTGGATTACAGCTTCCAGATATGCTGGACCCCCAACCTCAGCATGGCCTCTGCTTGATGTACTCATTTTATGCATGTGGACAGGACATTTTGGAGATTAGTCATTCATAGGGTCATCATATGTTGGAGGTGATTTGATCGCACATAACAAGAAAACAGGTGGCTTCCTTGAAAGCTTGTGTCACGATAAATAAGTATCCAAAGTGCCATAATATTTTTTAAAATCTTCTTGTTACTACAGACCAAAGTCTTTCTACCCAGTCTTCCAGAAAGTATTCATTGGATTTCCTAAGCATGAACTTTAAAATAAAAAGTAAATACACAGCAGAGTTTATAGGGTATAAGGCTTGCATGGCAGATTGCTGTGGGCAGGTATACCTGCTTACCCTCTGTTACTGGGATGATGGCTGGATTCTGAGAAATTGGGAGACCAAGGGGCTGTGATAGGGCACATACTTGTCATGTACTGTAGAATATCCTAAATTCAGTCCCTGGTGAGCTTCTGCCTTTCATTGCAGACAACAATGAGCTAGATGAGCCAGTGGCCTGACAGTGGGAGGCATCTTCCTGAGTTCCATAGAGCTGTGTTGCGTGTTACAGAAAGGTTAAAGGGTTTTGTTTGTCTAAGGTTGATTGTGTACATAGCATCTACATGCAGCGTGGAACACAACAGGAAAATGGCAATAGGCAGAAAGGACCTTAGGGAAAAGATGCATTCTTAAAGAAACAACATTTCTTTCCTTTTTGACCAATACATGTATGCATCCTCTTTTAATCCCTGAAAGCTACAGATGCAGATAAGTTTAGAAAAGTTGCTGTTTTGGATTACAAATCTTTCTGTATGGCTGAGGAATTTGGAATTTATAGTCCCAAAAAACAGCTTTTGCAAATTCTACAGATGTGGTACTGGCTCGAGATCTTGCATGTCCATACATCTCAAAAATCCACCTTTTATTGTTTTTGGAATTTATAGTCCCAAAAAACAGCTTTTGGAAGTTCTGCAGATGTGGTACTGGCACGAGATCTTGCATGTACACACATCTCAAAAATCCACCTTTTATTTTTTGTAATTTTTTACCCTGCCTTTCTCCTTTAAAAAGACCCAAGGTGGCTTACATCCTTGAAAGACAATATTTAAAGCCCACTGAGAGGGGGGAAAACCTTTGTTCCTCTCCTTCCCTGGTAAGTAAAGAAAGAACTATACAGTATGAGGATATTTGAGGATGGAAGTGGAGCATCTTCTCTACACTATCTCCCCTAGCATTGTTAGGGACCACTCTTTCCTTGTTGATAATAGCAGAGGGAAAGAGGGACATGCACAGTACTGATGGAAACCTGGCAACAGTGGGGAGAAGGATAAAGATATCTTTGGGGGTTGCACCTAAGGTTGGGGTTGGGGATGGCTGCAGGTTGTGTACCTCTGACCTAATGCTCAATTGTTTCTATAAATGTATCGGGCTCTTGCTTCTGTCTTAACCAAAGAAATTAAACCCTATTGGATGCAGTAGATTAGGAATTCCCATAGAGGAAAAATGCATAAGATTGTGGTGTTATGAAGTCAAAAGTCTCTGTCAGCCATACAAATCTAGAGTTGCTTTGAAGCTTTTTGGCCGTGTTTATCTTAAATGCCTGTCAAAACCTGGGCTGGCACCTTTGGTGATGTATTGCAAGTACTTTGCAAGTGCAGGCAATATGAGATCAGCTGAATCTTCAGGAAACAGAACAAACACATCCCTAGTACAGCTCATCCAAGTTTCAACTGAAAACTGCCAAGTTAAGTGCAAGTCTTTTGGCTGCTGAGTTCTGGACTAAGCAGTTTCCAGTTTTAAAATATTTAGGGATATTAGTTGTACTGACATCCTAGAGACTAGTGCAGAAGGTGTTAAAACAAAATCTTTTCTCAGTGTGGGGAGGAGATGCATTGTGCTAATTCCTTGATCATCACTTGGAGGGCACCAGGTTAGACAGTGAAGGTTTATGAAACTTTGGAATGTGTTCGATTTTGAGCACTTATACCCTACCCAAATTCAAGCATAACATAAATGTGTGAGCCAGGGATGATTATGCGACAATAGCAACTTAGAGGCTATTATCTTGGCTTCTGATCCTGAATCATGGGCCAGTTGTTGATCATGTGCTCCACTCCAGACATGACTACATTTGTGTTATAGGTGGAATGAAATTTGTTGTCTCCATTTTCCAGCTCTCTGACACTTGGCCTTGTTTAGGACAATGTGTTCTTGAAGCTTTTGGATTCATTCTTGTGTCTGTATGTATTGGTAAACACAATATATAAATTGCTAAAACATGGGGGTCTGACTTACCTACTGTTACATTTATGAAATTCCCAACTCTCTTGGGTTTCTGAATTTTTCACTTTTGATGAGCCAGATCTATATGTTACTAATTGAAACATCACTTTTGCCCGTGAATGCATATAGAGATGTTGGAAAGACTCTTGTGAATGTAGTATGTGTACCCACCCTTGGAGAAGCTCATTAGATGGTTTTGGTTCCATGCCATGGGACTGACAGACATGATTCTTTCTCAAGTAGTGTGACTCCAGAATACACCCTATCATAACCAGAAACTGGCCCCACCAAGAGATTGAAAGACTGACTCATGCCTCGCTCACACAGCGACTGATTGCGATTGCTTATGTGTTGCTCCCAGCAATAATTACTGTTTTGTAGGAGGCAGAAAAAGAGAAACAGGAAGTGGGGACGGGTGTGTAAGTGGACTGAGAGCAGCACTTACAAACTGTACCTTCTTAGGGAAGAGGCTGACCGTGCTGGATAAGCAGGCAGGGTTCTAACCTCTATGAGGAGGGAGACGACTCGTATCCTTGTATGTCTAAAAAGACATTACTCAACATGGTTTGTGAAATATAGAAAGCATGAAGACAGTAACCAGTGCTCAATCCCAGAGTGCCCCCGGAAGAAAAGAATGGTAAACTTATTTCGAGAGTTCTCTACCTTGAAAACCCTGAAAAGTTTCACCATGTCAGAATAGAGTT